TCACTCTTTTCCTTTGCTTATTATAAAGTCCCAATGCGTCTCGGATGGCCTGCGTTAAAACATTTGTAGCATTCTTTTTTCCTAGATTTTTTCCCAAACTCACACAAGTAGGTTTAGCATCACGGATTTTTCCTCCTTCCTGCCTAGCCTCTACAGAGATTTCAGCAATGAAAGTGTCTGTCGCACTTTGCAGAGGCCTCCCGTCTAGATATTTAGTAAGAATCGGTACGTAATGGCCAAAAGGTTCGCTATCATCCCGAAAACGAATCAGACAGACTCTGATTGTCCATAAGAAGTTTTTTCCGTTATGTTCAACATAAGAGAGGGTAGGGAATTCAAAAATCGTTTTATTCTTGCGAAAACTTCCTGGCACTGTTTTCTGTTCTACGGCAAGACGCATGTCTGGGATATATAAAGATGTAGAAGCCATTCGTACAATATTTAGGACAGGTTCTATATCAGTTTACTAACATGTTAAGTATTTTTAGAATCAAAAAAGAATTCAGAACGCTAGTCCCGGACGGTGAAAGATTGGGTAAGTATTTACCCATTTTATCACTTATTGATTCACTCGAATTCAAACAGTCTTTAGAAAAACCCTAAATACCTTTACGGCCGAGCCAGATATATGGTACTCGGCGACAAAAATGTTCTCTTTTTTCATTGTCATTAGAGCCAGCTCGCTTGGCCTTTCCTTTGATCTATCAATTTGCAAGAGATAATATATCCTAATAATAGTATATCAGACAGTTTACCTATTGCAGAGAGTAGTTCCAAATGATTATGAGAAAATAGAGCATTAGAGAAGCTAAATGTTCAAACAATTTTTTATCTAAAAAATGTACTATTACATATCTCATAACTGCGAATATTTTTAGTCAAAGCGCTTTATATGTTGATATACTGGAACACTGCATGGATATTGGATCTTGCTCATCAGTTCCATAGGAACCGGATGGATCAGAAAGTAGACTTTCATTTGTTATTGGATAAAGAATTTCCCCATTACAAAAAGTTCTGCCTTTACTGCTGGGATTGGATTCATATTGGTAAGAAGGGTAGAGAAGATCATAAAAAAATGTGCACTGGTGAATTCCACTCATATGATAGGTGTCAGGAATGTGGTTATAGGCTGAAAGAAAATTGCGATGCCTTACATAAGTCACCCTATAACAAGATTGACTAGCATAAAATCCATTGCTTCGGGAGACCTAGATATAGTAAAACACATGCGGCTTTGATTATTCAGAAAGCTTATCGATTATATCGTAAACATCAAGCTGTTACTAAAATACAGGACTTGGTATTTCGCTGGCTTTATTCTCCAGATGGGCCAATGTTAAAACATCTCAAAAAACATTATCAGATGGTATTTATGCAAAGTACTTCTAACTAGTATTAGAAAAAAATATTAACTAATCATGGCTATATATACACAAGAGCTATAGAAGAATAATTATCTCCATTCGAATCTCTTACCTATTTGATGATATATTTCTTAGAAAATGATAATACCAAATGAATATTTTAGAGGTTAAGTACCTATACATCTAAAGAGCCAGCTTAATTTTCCGCACTGGCACTACTTATAATCAAGTGAACATTTCGTCGAAGTCGTTAGATAGCTATACGTTTGGTGAGCCGGCTTGATTCAGATCATTAGTCAAATTTTTAGTTCGAATATTTGCCCGCCTTCTCATAAATTTGAAGCCAGAAAAACAAAGTATCCTATTTATCTTTTTCTGAACAATGTGAAGAAAAAGGAACAGAAATTGAAAATCAAATCTGCATAGATAGTTAGAAATGCCAACTATTGGGAAGGATACCGAACAAGCTCATTCACTTAAACGAATTATTAATAATAGGTGGGAACAAAGTACTATTATCAATCAGATTACTGATCATATAAATGATATGAATATTAATTCCAAAAATATATTGATTCTGATAGAATTATTTGAGAAATTGACTAGCATTGAAGATATATATGATCCAAAATCTATTCATAAAATGATAAAGATATTCAGGAAAGATTTGATAGAGAATGGTTATAGTGAAAAAAGTATCATTATTGTCCGTTTAGATGTAATTTCTCATAATTTGTTTTACTGATGGCATGCGGAAATTTGAAAAAAGATAGGGGTTTTCTGGCCTCGTGTCTTGTCGCTCAACCGCGCTAAGTTCCGTCTCTGAGATTTTTTTGGCTTCAAATTTATGAGAAGGTGGGCAAATATACTATTATTAGAATATATTATCACTCGTCCTCTTCCTCCGGTCATTGGCATATGGAAAAGATATTTCCGTCCTGCAAGTAAGACATCATGGTTGACTATTTCCCACAGTGCCGGCTACAAAGGAGGATCAATCCAGGCAATCAAGGATGGATTAGGTAAGTGTCCAAACGGAATTTCTAACATTGCTGGCCAGTATCTTGAATCGTTATGCAAAATACCCTATTTATCTTTTTCTAAGCAATGTGAAGAAAAGGGCTAGAACTTTCCTCATAGAAAAGATTTCTTTTTTTCGGCCGGCGACGAATATGAGAAAAAATATTTATGTTGCCAGACGAATTAGGAGGGTCGAGGGCCAACTGGCTCAAAGATTGTATTAATATTTGAGGAATTAGGCTATATAGTAAGTTTATTTGAAGTGCTTCTCTCATTTTGAAAACTGGTCTCCTGGAAAATAGTTGTGCAAAATTATTCTACTCTAAACATGTTTGATTGTACATACGATTCTAACTTTTTCCTTCAAGAAGATTTTGATCATTTTTCTAACTATAGTGTGTCTGATTTTGACGATTCTGATGATTGCGATTTCGATACCTACGAGCTTAATAAATCCAAGCGTCAGTTCTTTCAACCTAGAACTTACAAATACTTTTCTCGACCAAATGTTCCTACTGAGGAAAGACTTATATCATGCGAGACTCTTAGCCCAGATAGCTTCGTAGTTCGCAAAGAAGAGGGTGGATTTATGCACTTTAGAAACATTCACGAAATGGAATCTTATATTAACTCCATCCCAGAATTCTACCAAACTTTCCATGAATATATTTGTAAAGGCCGGTTGCAAAAAATCAAGCTTGATTTGGATGGTGATATCGAAAAGCTGGCCTCATATCCCGATCCGCTATCTCAAGAATATGCAAAGAATCTCTTGACCGGCTCTTCTATTCCTTGTCTGAGAAGCGATGTTGCCAAGCAACGCCTTTCCTCGTGGAAAAAGATGTCATTAAGAGACCGCAAAACCGATGAAATTGTTTTCCTGATTAAGAAAGGTCTATATACTTTGATAAAAAAATTGACCGGTAGGTGTGTCTCATCTTCTGATATTCTGAAAGCCGATTCTTCTAACAATTTCAAATGGAGCCTCCATATTATTTTGTCACAGTTTTTTGTTAATGGAGCTACTAAAGCAAGAAAGTTTATAGAAGACCTTTTTCAGATTCTTCCCTCCGATTTCAGCACTCAGCTTAGATCTCTCAAGATCCTTGATGAGGGAGTCAATAAAGATTATCAGTCTTTTCGCATGGCAGGCTGTCATAAGATTGCGAATCCAACTAGAGTTAAAAAAATTGTTACCGAGCATTCATGGCGAGATTCTCTTATAACTTACATAGAAGGAAATGCTGTTGAATTATATCCTTTTCTAGATTTATCTTCTGAAGAGTTAAGTTTACATACATCTAATTTCGAGACTCTTAGCGATAGAAAGAAGGAAGAATTGTCTGATCAGATTATAAAAATAGTTGAGGATCAATTTCCGTTCTTATCTTTCCGCAATCATATCTCTGGACGAGATAATTTTGATCACTTACAACCATCTTTATGCGATATATGCAATAGTGCTGAAGAGCATACTAGCGATGGAATGTATGGCAAGTGGATTAAGGATTCGTATTATCTTTTCTGCTATAGGCAAACAGAGACTGGTGAGCCCTTAAAAGTTTTTGAAGCAGATTGCTAAGCCGGAAAAAAGAAGAACAGTTCAAAAAAGATGAAATCTCCTAAACTATCTAATGCCAAACTTTTGGAACAATGCTTATGTACCCTCTCTTTGGCAAATTATGATTTTGCTAACATTGTTGGAACTACGCATATTTATAGCGAATGTGGAATACAGAGTTATGCATTACAGAATGTTCTTAACAGCAAAGAAAGACACCTTATTCTGGTTAAGGCCCATTATAGCATCGGTAAATCTATTCAACTTTCTGAAGAACTTTCGGATCTAAAACGCCTAGACAGTTCACTAGCATTAGTTTTGATTCTTTCCGGCAGACGTTCTCTCGCTCATGGACAAAAAGCTCTATTCAAGGGCTTTGAACTTTATCTTGATAGAAAGTCTAATAGCTTTTCTCCACAGGAAAGTCCCTGATTAATTATCAGTCCTGAGAGTCTTCATAAGCTTAGTGCATCTGGCTACAATGCCATTATTCTTGATGAATTCAAAACCATTACTCAGAACTTTAGCGGACCTACTATGGGGAATAAGAATACCCTCTGCCATGATATTTATAAATCTCTTCTTCACTCGGCTAGGCTTGTCATCGCTCTCGATGCGTTCTTAGACTCATCTTCCACTGTTCATCTTCAGGACTTGACTTTGATAGATGCTGAAAAATCTACAGTTCATTGGAATCGCTACTTGCGAGATAAACGTAATGCTCGCTTCTATAATACCGTCTCTACATGGAATGCGGAACTCTTGGG